AGTTGATCTGTGTTTTGCGCTCATCAGTAGCTTCTTGCAAGGGCATCTTACCATGACCTTCATGAAGCGTCATGGCACAAGTGCTACAAACGGCGACGTTACAGTCCTTGCAAAAGAGCTCCAGCTCTTTGTTTTCATGGTGTTTCTTCTGACAAAATGCTGGTCGCTCTAAGACAGCCTTGATGTCTTGATCTTGAAAATCTTTCAGCGCTAGCGTTCTGTGATCTTTATTTTCTCGCATTATGTTATGTCCTACAATACATTCTTCACACCAGAAGGAACAACACTGAAAACAATATAAGGTCTGGGCGCTTCGTTTCTCGCAGTTCCTGCATTTGACGTTCACTGTACTGCACTCTTTAATTGCCAAGACATCTAACAGGCTGTTTATTCGAAAATTGGTGGGAAGTTCGCTGGGATTTCCACTTCCAGAAATCTGAAACTGTCTCCTACACTCGGGACATGTAATTTTACCATGGACGCCGCTCGTTCGTTGAATTTCGTTCAGGCAGTGAAGACAGAAACTGTGGAAACAAGGCAACTGCTTTGGATCAGTGAATGCACACATGCACACAGAACAAGATACTTCAACATGAAGATTGTCCAGCAAGGTCTTTATATCCATGGAAAAGAGTTCGGAATGAAGGTTACTTTTCAAAAATTTTGGCCGATCAAGGGAATGGCTTTGCTAATGAACAATGAATTCTTGTCTTGTGACCCAGACTAAATTGGTGTATTATTAGTCAATCAAATAGAGTTTCTTGACGTATTTTGATGGAGTGAAAAGTATTTTAATACTCATTTGACTCATTAAAATGAGTCAAATGAGTCAATGAGTCATGAGTCATGAGTTAATGAGTCAATGAGTCAGATCTGAAAAAACAAATGTTTTGGTAGAAGCAATGAAATTTGAACGATTTTCGTATGACCTTGAAAATGGTTTCGGACGGTGTTTGTTATTTGTTTTATCGGCCAATGGATGAAAAGATCAAAACATGTACATGGTCAATCGTGTCGCAGTATGTCGTCAAAGCGAAGTATCGATTGATTTCTAGAAAGTTCTTCGGGCATGAAGTTTTTTTCATCCGAGCTTTCGCTAAACCAACCAAAAGCCACGCGCGTTTGTATCCGTTCGACACACCAATCAAATCGCTCCCTTTTTCGTTCGTTTGTTGTTTCTGGTTTGTTCGCGCCTTTTCATTTCAAGGTCGTACGAAAATCGCTCTAAGCATTACTTTTACTTATTTTGTCTACTTCCTTCATTGCTGCCTGCGCAAGGTCTATTTCGGACATGAAATCTCGACCTTGACCTGGGCTGTTTGTTAGCAGGTCCCAGGCCCTGCCGCATAGCAGAAGCGAAAAATAAGCCAGCCTAAATTTTGTGAGTGCTTCCGAAGAAAGTGTTTAATTCCCTTTGAACACAGCACTCAAAGTAAATTGAGGTAAACCTATTATGGAATTTCTTAGCGCTCAAAGACTCAAATCTGGGAACAGTCGTTCTTTGATATTCGGTCATGAGTGCGAAGGAAAGTTCCACTTTTATATCTGTATCGGTATGTTACTCATTAGCTTGTCATGCTGGTGTAAAGGTAAGAATTCCGGGAAGTATTCATTAATTTTTAGCGACTAATCTTATCAAGGGGATATACAATTTTCTTTCATGCTGTGGATCGCTGTCCATCATGAACACAATGAAGACGATCCAGGACACTAAGCGTCCGTTCCAACAATCAATAGCAGAGTTGTTTTCAGTTGATAATCTTCCTAATGCAGTTCTCCACTTTTTCCAATCAGTTTTACTTGCCTCAAAAGGTGAATGATGCTACGAGGCGAACAAACTGGATTGTAATTTGCCCGAGGAGGGGTATGAAACAGCGAGTCGAACAGTTATACAAAGCCAGTGTTTATATTAGAAACATACGGTGTACGAATAATTATTAGAGAGTTTTAAGAGAGATTAAGATTCACGTTCACGGCAAACGGCAAACGTCAGATTCAAGTTGAGAATTTCTCAGAATAGAAAATAAGCAGATAAAAACTGTCCAGAACAATTCTTATGGATAAAACTGGCGTGAAACCACTTATTTCTCTGTAGAAATAAAAAAATGTAAACGACAATTAAGGGGAAAAACTTGGTCACGTGGTCCAAATTCACGTTTGCCGTCTGGCGGAAACGTGAATCTTAATCTCTCTTTAGATTCGAGTTTACCGCGAACCTCTAACCGCTGGAGGTAGCGTGCCAAGTCTTTCGCGTCACGTTTGAGGTTTACGACGTGCGTTTTCAACGTGGGGAGGTAGGTTTTCACGTATGTCATTTACCTGAAAGCTTTAAGCGTATAATTCTTGTTTTATCCCACGTAATGATACAAAAATCTTGTGGAGCAAGTCATTATCCATTAACAGAGGCACAAATTCGGGCGAAATGCTAAATTTGATAAATCCTATTGGATCTTGAAAACAAGTGCCATTTATGGCTGCTGATTCAAGATGTCGGCCGTAATCTAATCCACCGCCAATCTAAATCGAATTATGTTTGAACGTCGAACCGCAAACTGGTAACCGCAAACCGCGGTTACAGGTTCGCAGTAAACTCGGATCTAAAACTCTCTATTATTGAGGCATTACTGTATACCCATTATAATTCTAAATAGCTTTCAAGGCTCGTTGATTGATTAAAATCTTTGGGCATTCACTGTTTGCATTATGTTTGTGTTTATTTACATTAGCTTGCCTGTTTAAAACTCGTGCATCAACTAATATGAACAACCTTGGGGCAGCACTTCACTTCTGGTATGGAAACTCTAATAGTAAGGATTGTCTGATGGTTTAAATGGTTCTTGAAGGGTGTCTGGGAAGGCTATTTTTCGGGGCATGTACGCAGTAGTAGCGGCAAGACCTGGGATACTGCTAACAAATATTCCAGGTTGAGATTTCATGTCAGAAATAGGCCTTGCATATGTGAAGGCAGCAATGAAGCAAGTAGACAAATTAAGTAAAAGTAATGCTTAATTTTATTGTTTCTACTGACACTTTAGAGGAATGAAGGGGCTTTATCTCCCTAATTCGTTCGGAAAAGTTTGCTAGGCATGTTAAAGCATGGACTACTGAAATTTTTTGAATATTTGTGCACACTCAATACGTTACACACGCGTACAATCCTTGAACAGATTAAATTGGGAAAGCAACTCCCCGTTGGCTCAAAATAAGGGACTTGTCAGAAATGAGCAGAGGGAGGGGGGTGGGGGAGGTGGAAACAGAAAGAGGGTCACAGCTTTTTGAGACTCAGAAAAGGGAGGGAACATAAAAAAATTGGCCGTTAAAAGGGGCAGGGTCATGCAAATATATGGCCGTGATCATATAGGGGTTCACCCACAGAAGAAAATTGGTAAAAAAACGTGGGAGAAAGAGGAGAGTCTAGTGATCAGCTGTCAGAATCAGAGTCGGACTCTTAATGCTGTCATCTAAAATGTATGTATATAGCATTACAAAGAACAGATTAGAAATATATTCTGAGTTTTCATAAAAACTAGATTTTGTCATTTATATAACAAGGGGAGGGTCGTGATATTTTAGGCCAAGCTCAAGGGGAGGGTTAGCAAATTTTACTCCCATTGCAGGGATGGATCACCTCATTTCCGAAACCAAATTTAAAATTCCCACCCCCCTCTCCCCCTGCTAATTTCTGACAAGTCCCTAAGGAGCAAAAGAGCCACGCGAAAGCCAAAACACACTATTACCCCATCCTTTTACGAATAAATTTTGCGTCTACTTTGTCCAATATAGAGGTCGTTAATGTTTGTGTTTCCAGCAAATACATTTCCATTTTTGATTAAAATCAACCTTCGGCCAAGTCATCCCTGATACTGTGCAAAAAAATTCTCCAGAACAAATGGCAGTTGTAGAAAGTTTTTACTAAATCTTAAGTTTCTGTTGGCCTTTGGGCCACGGAGGGTTTAAAAAAGCAATGAAGTCTAAAAGTCAAAATATAAAGTAACTTTAAAACGGTGGTATCTTTTTATTGTCAGTTTAGAAGCTGTAATCGGATTGGTATCTGCTAGAGTTCGCTTAAAAGAAAGAGAACTGGATTTCTTTCTGAATTGTCATTACGGACACTTCGGTAAAGTGCTCTCTTTCAAATGAATTTTTTTTTGCACAAATTTAAATTAGTATTATTATAGTACGAGTCAAGAATTGAGACAGCTTTATTCTCATTTGTTTTTAGGCTATTCGGGCGGGCCTCGTCTTTAGTATTGACATATATGGCGGAGACAAGATTTTAAAAGTGTTTTTTTCTTCGTTTAAGTAGACAGTCGTTATTGAAAATCTCAAGAGGGATGAGATTCACAAGGCGGTATAAAACTAAGTCAAATTCCTTTTTTCAAACTTTTTTAATGTTCGTTGAAGTATTCCATCAGCCTCGGTAAACTCTTTTTCTGAATGGTCTTTGACCAACCTCACTTGGAGGCGCGATTTAAGACTTCAAGGTGTTCTGTAATTATCCAAGCAGTTGATCCTGGAAGGAATTGAAAACCGTCAAAGTGATCGAGTGCTGTAAATTTATACAAGAAATTTATTAACTGGTACGAGACGGCCCTTCTTAATACACTTCCAAATCCAAGATGGCGACACAACCTTGGTCGATCCTTCCTCCTTTTGTCCATCCTAAAAAAGAAAAGGCAGACACGATAAGAACAGCGGGCATTGGTTACATCGCTAATAAAATATTTTAGCTTATCACCTCCAAAGTGTTGCTTCCAATGTCGAAGAGAAAGAACATGGGAAGAGGGGTGGAGAGGTTGAAGGGGGGGGGGGGG